TATCACTAGATGAGATTGCTATTATCCTGTGGTTGATATGGAAGGCCAGAAATGAGTTTGTCTTTCGAAGAAAACCCCCAAATCCGAGAACCTTAATTGAGTCGGCAAGGATTATGACTCAAAACTATAGCAGGTGGAATCAACAAAGCTCAAATCTGTATACTGAACAGAGACTGTTACCTCAGCACTGGAACCCACCGACGAAGAACTCCTTCAAAATCAATATTGATGGATCTTTCCTTGAACATGCAACAGAAGGAGCAGTAGCCGGGATCCTCATAGACGCGACTGGAACTTTGCTCGACGGCTTCGCCGGGACAGTTCCGACGACTTCGCCGCTACACACAGAACTGCAAGCGCTACCGCAAGCGCTCTAAGCTTTCGTTGCTTGGAGAAACGAGCACAAAGTGTTGGAGACGGACAGTCTTTTGATTGTCAAGATATTGAATGAGCAAGGTCAAGTTGGCTGGGAAGATGAAGCTGCTGTCCATGAAGCCTAAATCCGTTTGGTCCACTATAGCAAGATAACTGTGGCCCATTGCAACCGAACCGCCAACCAAGCTGCTGATTGGATCGCTAAGGCACAACGTCAAAAATCTCTTTTTTCATCTTGGCTCATGCGTTCTCCCCGACCTTTATGGGAGTTATTATGTTTTGATGCTCCCCTGTCGGGCTGTAGATCCAAGAACTCTTAAGTTTCAATCGAAGCGTTCTTTTTCGACCAAAAAAAAATCCAATGGTTGACGTTGATAGGTTTTTTAGCGGACAGCTGACAAGACACACTATTCAATAGTCGATGTTGACAAGCTTGTATCTGACGGATAACAAGACCGGCGGCAGCTTAACTGTACACAAGATCACACATTATTCAATAGTCGATGTTGACAAACTAGAATCTAACGGCTTTCATGTACGCAAGATCACAGGAGGGTTGACTCAGCCCTTTATCTTAAATTTCCGTTTAGGCTTCATCCTCTGTTCAGATCTCCTCGCCAAAGCATTCGAAGGCTCACATTATCAGCAATGTTTTGTTTTTTTGGTTCGAAATATCAGCAATGTTTAAACCATGTTAAACGAGCTTCTTTCATTTTGTTTTCGAACTGAATAACATCTACATTTTTCTCGGATAAATTATTTTTTTATTCCTTTTTTTGTCGTATACCCACACAATAAACAAAGCATTCTCATCTCCATTATACAATTTTGTGCATGTATTAATAATGTTAAGTATTAGCGGGCTTAATTTTCTCTTAAAATTAAGTGGCATTCGAGGGTCTCACAAAAACTAGACCATCAACCCGCACTTTGCACGGGCATAGATTAATGCGTATTGCTCACTATTTTAAGTTATATGTGCAAATTAATATAAAGCAATATATATCTTTAACAGTAGATTAATCGATATTTACGTCGAAATTATTGTGATTCAATTATGTACTTCGTGATGGTATGAAATTTACAAAATTATAGTTGTAAGACCACAAATGAGAATATTATCTTATGATCATTATAGAAGAAGCATAAAATTTCACTCGATTGTTTTCTCAATGCAAAAGAGAAAATGCAATTTTATGTACTATTATTCATCACATTCTTTTTATTTATTTATTTTTTGGTCAAACACATTCTTTTTATTGAAAAATTAACTTATCAGCATTTTTTCGGCTAATAAATTTGTAATTAACCAAATAAATGTAGACCCATATCTCAACTAACAGGATAAAATGAAAACTAAATAGAAAAGAAGAAAATCATAGGTTGAAACTGTTAGGAAAATCCGTAGTGATGTTTTGAAGATAACAAAATAATCAAAGGTAACTAATATGTTAAATGATTGAGTAAATCAGCCAAGAGATGCATCAGTCAATATGCAGATAGTGTTCTAACATCATTGTCTAAAGAGGAGCAGTGTTCTGTCAATGGTGAACAAGACATTGGGCATAGAGGTAACAAGCTCAAGGTACTTAAGTAAAAGGTGAACAAGCCTAGAACAGAGAGTTTGATAAAGCTTGAAAGGACCACAGAAAGGTGAACAGTTGGGGTAGAGTCATGGTTACTAATATGCTTGGAGGACCAGAAGATAGAACTTCAAGTGAAGTTGATATGAGAAATACTATTGCCAATATCAAAGGTATCCAGTGAAAGGTTGATGATAAAATGAGAAGTTCATGAAGACTTAGAGGTACCGGACATAATCATGGCCATGGACCGGTTTTGGCCCGGAACCGGCCCGGGTCAAACCCGAGACCGGCCCGTTGACCGGGCCCGTGGTTCGGAACTGGAATCGGCCCGGAACCGGCGGTTCCGAGCTCTGTTCCAAAAAAAAAAAAAAAAACCTTTTGCTGCACAGCACAGCAGCCCCACCCCCACGTTCCCACCCCCAGGGCCCCACCTCCAGTCCTCCTCCTCCAAATCTCTCCTTCCCCCCTCCGGGCCCTCTTTCTCCCTTGCGCCTCCTCCGCCTCTGGTCTTCCCCTTTTCTCCTCCACCCGCCCCCTTCTTCCCAGATCTGGCCCCCGCCGACGTCGCCCCTGCCCATGGCCGCAGCCGCCGACGCTGATGCCCCCTCCTCCTCCCCCCTCGCTACCCTACGCCTCCTTCCCTTTTCTCCTTCGCCTGCCCCCCGTCTCCCCAGATCTGACCCCCGCCGCCACCGCCGCCGCCCATGGCCGCAGCTGCCGACGCCGATGCCCCCTCCTCCTCCCCTCCCCACGACCCCGCCCAGCCCCCGGAGGAGGAGGACCCCCTGCTCCTCCTCCCCGTCCCCGTCCCCGGCCCCCTCCTTCTCCCTCTCGCCGCTGCCCCGGTCTCCCGCTTCATCTCCTCGCCGCCTTGAACCCCGCCTCCGCCACCGTGGCCAAGGCCGCGAAGCCTGAGCGACGACCGACGGAGGACCAGGTCTGCAATTTTTATTTTATAAATTATTTTATAAATTTTTAAATTACGAACCGGAACCAGCGGTTCCTGAACCGTGGCCATGTCTAACCAGACAAAGTGAACGGTTTATACAGTTTTGGATCACGGAGATATTGAGGAAGACCAATGGATGGCAATTCATAAGTTGAATAGAAGTGGGCAGCTTAGATATACTCACGAATTGCTTATAGAAGCGGCTGCTTATACCAACTACGAAGAGCAGGATTATAAATGTTTCTTTGATTTGGATAAAAGATCTAAATATTCGTTTGACCGTTATTTCATGTCTAAAGGAACATGACAACCAATCACAAGCTTGGAATTGCGAACTTATTTGCTCTAAGGATAATTCAATCAATTATCCATTGTATCGATGGACAATTATTATTTCCTAATATAAGCAACTCCATTCGCGGAAGCAACAACATTATTGGAAGATTTGATTGTATGGACAATCAGATATTCGGTGATTTCATTGCTTATCTTCAATGGCTAAATTGATCCAACGACTATTTTGGAGATTGAAGATTCTATAAGAAGATCAATCTATTTTGTAGAAGATAACGCCACGAAACAATGAAAGTTTTACATACTTACTCTTGTTGAGTTGTTAAGCGAGAATTCATTTATTAAGAGTGCTTATCACATATTGTAGTCTCTTTCGAAGTGTACACTATGCTTAGAATTATGTAATGTGATTTACCATTTTTCGGTAAAAGCAGCAAGAGATACGTTTGTATCTACTCAGAAATTATCAATGGAAAGAGTGGAGTTAGGCTTGGTTTAAGTCGAACTACTTTAAAAGATCTGCGTGCATAATCTTTTATTTATCTGCTTATTTCTCTCTAACTGTTTGATAGAAGTATTGCACTTGATATCATCATCTTATCCTTGCATATATTAAACAATTCCTGCATATATCAACTTGATTGTGTTTATGCAGCGAAAAATTATCAAGTTGTGTAAAATAACCTATTCACCTTCTCTAGATTGTATCTCTAGGCATAATAGCAACTAAATAACTAAAAGCTCATTGTAGATGTATATGCGATCATCCTGAGCCTTTTGCCGATTAATTTGTTATTTTTCTAATGAATAACAACACATAGAAAAGAAAAGAAAAGAAATTATAAATTCGAAACTGAAAAGTTACTAGTTAGGGCACGAATGATAATTATTATGTTTCCTTATTTTTTTATTTTTTTTGTTCTCCGGAACAGAAATCCGTTTGGTAAAATAATTTCATTTTTTTAATTTCTGGAATAAATTTTGGCTTAGAAATATATTTGGAACAGAAATGAGAAGTTAAAATCTTTTACTTTTTTATTTCTAAAACAGAAACAAAAATAACAAATCTCTTTTATTGATCACCCTTGCCACCCACTGCCGCCCACTCACCGCTAGCCGCCTGTCGCCACCACCGCCCGCCGCCCGTTTGCCGCCGCCGCCGCCGTTCACCAACCGTCCGTCGCCACCTGCTGTCGCTCGCCACTCGCCAGCCCGTTTGCCGCCACCCGCCGTTGCCACTCGTCGGTCGGCGGGAACATAAATTTTTTGTTGTTAGCAAACGAATTTCTATTCCGGAAACAAAAATTTTGTGTCATTATCAAATGCTACTTTTTGCTCATAAACTCGTTTAAGAAAGTGAAATAGAATTTTCCATTTCTAGCCATAAATAGGGCTAGGGAATATAAATGTTTTCATTCATGCCCTTAGTGTCAAATTTGAATTGGATCTGTTCACTCGAGACGGCAGAACGGATTGGAACTTGGGTAAACTAAAACATCAAAAATCTATTTTTACAATCATAAACAAGAAGCTCCATATTTTCGAAAAAATGTTCTTTTTTTTTTATTTCTTTGAAGCATCTTTTCTACAAGCTCAACGAGAGTCAAAATACTTCATCTATTGACTTAAAATTATTAATCAACACTACAATCCATAAATCATATAAAAACTTCTTGAGAATGCGAGGAGAAAATATATGCATCTATTTCGTAAAAAATAAATAATTTGAAAAATATTTTTAAAAAAAATAATCACTTATATCGTTTCTTCTTATACATCGTTTGTTTGTTTTTAGTTCGTGAATGGACATCATTATCAAATTTCCACCTTCGTGTTGTTCCGTTCCGACTACTTCAACTCTTCCAAGTGAACGATGTCGGAGAACCCGTTCGTCTGTCTCTTCCAAAATCTTGAGAAGATATCGAACTCCATCCAGACCCATCTCTCCACCTTCGTTGCTCGTCATGGTAACCCATCGCAGGCCGGTAACAGTGCCCTCTTCTCCGTCTCCAGCTCGCCCAAACCAAGCGCATCGAACGCAAATTTCCAAACTTTCGGGCCAGAAGCGGTTCTCAAGAAGGTGGGTACTTCGTTTTCCTTCCTCTCTTGCCGTCTCGAGTGAAAAGTTCCGAGTTTTGCGTGTTCCTAACATACGATGGTGCGCATGCTCGGTCGGTGTTTGTTGGTATTCCCAAGTGAATGGCTGTCACCTTTCGGTGGGAGCAAGTGGGAGCTTTTTTGAAACCCATAATTGCAATGGCGATGTTTCATGGGGGGAATGAAAGGAGACGTGCTTTGAACATATGGTGGGTTGGTGGTTTGACTTCTCCCTTGGACACTTGAAATGACAATGTTGGAGGACCGCAGTCATGAGATGCAAGATGGTGAAGCTCATGTGTGTGATTTTTTCCCTGCCATTTTGTTGGTTTATTTCTGAATTCATCGCTTGGTCTTCTCGAGCCAATATTGACTGCTTCTTTCTGGAAAATTGAAGGGACCTTTATCGTGAATTATACTTCTGATATTCTTTGGTGAAACTAATTTTTAGTCAGATAGAGATTTATAGGTTTGTTTAGCATATCTTATTGGAATGGAGTGAAATTGATTCAAAATTGCCAGAGTTTCACTGGAAACAGGTATATTTGCTGAGGAATCTCGCAATGTTAGCATTTAGCAGTAGTCACCCCAGGTCATTCGGCCAATTCTTCTAATGGGTGGTTGCTTTCAGATCGCACGTTTTAGATCTTAGAACTGCTTCATAAGAGTCTTCCTTAGCCCTATCCTGAAGTTTCAATTCACTTCCTTTATAATTTTGCTAATTGTTAGTTCTAATTGAGAAAATGAGATTTTTCTGCCAGTGAAGGCTTAGAGAAGAAATGAAAAATGGTACGTGGGAAGTTACACTGGGACTGATATTTCTCATTGTTGTGACTTGTGCTTTTAGCTTTTCTAACTAGTGTTCCCATCAAACTCTAACTAAATGTTTTTTTCAGGTACAAACTGCTGCACCTGTAACAAAAGGAGAACTCGGGAGGGCCACCTGGACTTTTCTCCACACTCTAGCTGCTCAGGTCTTCTTAGTAAATAAAGCCTGGCTTTTTACTTTCCTTTTCAAGTTCCATTTACGAAGTTATGCCCAAATATATCAGTATACTCCTAAATTATTTGCACTTCTGCTGAGTTCTTGTGAAAAACCTTTGTTAACAATTTAGGTTGTATAACAGTGTTCTCTTTCCACATCTTTCTTAGAAATAAAGAATCGTTCTAAAGTGAAAGAACTTTTAGTGGGATTTTTATCTATCAGTTCCCTGTGAGAGGTTTCTCCATACTTTTATCATTTCTTGAAACAGCTACATTCAATCATTCAAGAGCTTCTTGTTTGCATTAATGATCGTTCTATATTTCGGACAGAAATTTCAGCACTCATCAGGAAGCACAAATAATGATTACTTAATAAATGGTTGTATTATTTCAATATTTTCAATTGCCAAGTTAGTATAGCCTGATGAAAGTCCTTACTTAGAGGAAATTCTTTGCATCTGTCTCCTATTTGTCTCCATGGTGTCCGTCCAGTTGTAGGGAGAATGTTGCCTATTAATGAAATAAATTTGAAGAAATGAAGAGAAACTTTCATGCACCACACGGTTGTTGGAGGACTAATATCCATGGAGCAAAAATGAGATCTCATCATCGTGTTCTTGTTTTATGCTCCTAAGTCAATGTGCTTTAAGGCACCAATTAATTTCCTGAGAAAATTTGTTTCCACCTCACTTTCATCCCCTTATCTTCATATCTATAGTCTTGAAAGCAAAAGAATAGCATTTGCAGCTTAAATTATGGAAACATTTCTCTTTTGCTGCTGTCTTGCTTTTAGGCAGTTGGTCCAGCTATCAGTTTGTGTGCAGAAGTAGCTAATTGAAACTTATTGGATTGTTTTTCTGTCTCTAGCTACTTAGATTGGTGCTTAAACTGTCATAATGCAGCTGCAGTTGTTTTCCTTGACTCAAGCCGAAGATACAATGCCACTTCTTATTATTGAAATGCCTTTTACTTTACAAAGACTGGCCTTTTCATTTTACATTTTGCGTCTTTCAGTATCCTGACAAACCGACAAGGCAACAGAAGAAAGATGTGAAAGAATTGGTATGATGATTCATATGCTTCCATAAACATTCATCTGGTACACCATTTTGTTATTTCCCATGCAAGTGAGTATTTCATTAAAAAGCGAGAAAATAAGATATATTAGCTGCACTAGAGAAAAGCAAGAGTCACTCAGTTGACTATTGCACTTCTTTCTTAATTCTAGTCTTGGTTTGACTGTAACTAGCATTTTTTAATCTAGTTCCATTCTTTCCAGAGATTTGGCATTCACTTTTACGGAAGCTTTATAAGTTACTTTAGAGGAGCCCTGCACAAGAGCTCATAGACTTGAGATGTTAAAAGGGTATTCATGGGAATAGTTGACATGCACGTCACTTGAGGAAAGTGATGATATAATGCTATCCCAACTCATTGCTTCTCATTTTCTGGTTTCTATAGATGGCTATATTGTCTCGAATGTACCCTTGCCAGGAATGTGCAGACCACTTTAAAGACATACTGAGGTCTCTCTCTCTCCCCCCCCAAAAAAAAAAAGCAGTGAATCCCTTGTTTTACATGGATGCGTGCACTCTTCAAGGGCCTAGATTGGCTTTGCTATTGCTCTCAACAAGTATAATCAGCTGTGGAGTGGCATATGAATTTAAATTGGCTAGTTACTAGCTTGAAGTTTATTTAACAACTAGGAGCTCATGATTACCTCATCAGTCACCAGCTGAACTTTCAAGGAGTTCTTGAAGAAACTAATCCCGGTGAAAAGCAAAAATGCGAATCTGATCCTAGTACAATCACTTCCACGAGTGCAAATATTAGACTACTGGAACACAATGAACATCAGAGCGAAAATTAGTGCTCCCTGGAATATGATATTGGAGAAATCTGAGGCATTTTGAACTTTGGAGTATTTGTAAGATCTGAATGCCATGGTGGTTTTCCTTATAGAAGTTTACTGCAATTGGTAGGTAATTGCTCAAATGAAAACATGTTGGTATTCCATAATTGAGCTCAATGTTAAGATGCTGTATTACATTTGATGCAGCTTTTGAAGTGCGAACTCGGTAAGAATTAGTTTAGTTTGCCTGAGAGTCTTCCTGCTAGCTGAATTTGGTTTTCAACTAAAGCATGTATAAGGATGGAAAGAGTTGATAGACAGTGCTAATTGTTTTTTCAAAGGGCAGATGTTGCGGTGGTTTTTATCTGATGTTTAGGATGGAGCCACTTTCTGCATTAGGTTATCGGTTGCTTTCTGCTATTTTCTCATGGACCTTTTCTTTCTTTCTTTGAACCTTAGCAGGGCAAATCCCGTACAGGCAGGATCTCATACTGAGTTCTCCCAGTGGCTATGCCATGTGCATAATGTAGTCAACAGAAGGTAGCTTTCATGTTTGTTGAACTTGTTTTTTCGTTTCAGCATTCATTATGATCAAGAACGGACAATCTGTATATAAAATATCTAAACATTCTTGAAACCAGAGGATGCTTTCGCTAGAGAATGCCACCTAATAGATCAATCATTCAATTTTGGCCTGTCCCTATCCCTTTCGATATCTTGGCCTATCGTTAAATGTTGTCAGTGGCAATTCCTTGTTTTCTTATTGAGATCATCGAGACAAAACCTAGCGTTACACAAGACAATTGGGCGCATATATCCTTTTAATTTCGGTGGAATGGGGTGCGTGCCTGTTATTTGAATGAAAATATTAGGGTTGCTGTTGGAATGATTGGAAAAAGCATCTACTACAATTGCTTGAAAACTGATATGTATGGATGCAATCTCCGACAAGTGGTCCAGGCATGTATGATGTATGTCTTCAACACGAAGTTATAACTACTAAATATTGCTTTGACTGGAAAAAGAATCATGATGAATCACCCGAAAAAGGAGGAATTAGAGGTACGAGATGTTGACTTTACCATTCTCTTATCGTGTAATGTCTCTAAATTGAGAGGATTCATATCAAAATATCTAATCAAACAGAAGTTAATAGGCTTTGCCTGGTAAAGTCTAGTAGTTATACCATGAATTCTTCGAGTTAGAAGATTAAAGTATGAACGTTCACGGACGTATTTCGTTAATCTCAACCTTGGTCCATTAAGCTCAAAAGGAAGCCAAGATTCATTCTTCGACATTTTGTGTGCAGAACTGTTTGCTGGATTTAACAAGTTCCATTTAGTCATTTTATTTTGATTTGTTGGTGATCGAACAGCCTAGGCAAGTCGGTATTCCCTTGTGAGCGAGTCGATGCAAGGTGGGGCAAGCTTGAGTGCGAGCTGCGTGCATGTGATCTGCAAGGAACTTTGACAAAGTTTTGGGACTAAGTTGTTACGGTGGTTGACCTTACCATTTATAGAGCAAAGGAAATCTGCTGTCAATTTTGTGTATGTGTACTAGAATGTGATGATAACTCCTGATATAGATTTTTATTATACTTCGCATTCCATTTCAGTTTATGCCGCGCAGCATCAGGCGTATACATACAATATGTTCATCCCTACAATGATGCCATAATGTATGTCAAATTTACAAGATAAACATGGATGTTTTATTTAGCATGTAAAAGAAATACGTATAAATGCTTCCAGATTCCGAAATTTTTTGGCCATTGGGCAATTGATGTTTTCTTTCTTCTCTCTTTTTGGCCTTGAATGTACTTTTCGTTTGTAGTTGATCATTCTGTAGCTTTTGGCTTCTCTCATATCCAGAAAGATGATATCACATGCTCGTCTGTTTCTGCCAATACTTTGTCCAATTTCAAGTCAGCGATTCTACATAAGGAATTATGGATTCTTCACTGGAACAAGTGAATCTTGATCCAAGATACAAGAAACTGCATTCGCAAGCTCTAGAATGGTCAAACGCAAAAACTATCGGAGAAATGTCTTCTTTCCCTAACATGATGGCAAATCACCTATCTTGGATTCTTACATTTGTCTCAAGCCCCCTTAATGGGCAAAGCTGAATGCAATACTTGGTCAAAATCAATTGCCTGCTGAGGAAGCTGCAACATTCTGGAGTTCAACATTCCGAATTGGCGGGGGCTCTCCAAATTTCAAGATATACGCGGTTTCATAAACAGGCCGCAGCTGCGGAAGCACTTGTGCGTCTATATACGAATCGCAGGAGAAACACCACACCGACAGATCACTGATTCCAGATAAAGAGTCAGTAATAGGAGCATGATAAAGAAACAGAATGTCAAAATGAAATTTAGAGAACACCTGAAGCTGAGCGCGAGGCAGTCGCTTGTTTGCTGATAATGCTGGAGCATATGCTTGTTCACGAATCGGCTGCAGAGCACGTCCTTGCAACACAGACATAACCAGTTCTCACTCGGGTGATGACACCTAGGAAAGTAAAGGAAGATGAAATATTACATTTTTCTATTTCAGCATCACTAAGTTCAACTTTCGTACACAATACTAACAGTAAATTTCGTCTGCAGTCAAGAAACTTTAGCGAATTTTTCAAACAGGTTATCCAATTTTGATTCCAATCACCTACTGCCATACACTTTCATCTCTTTGAAATTACAGTTAAATCAGAATCTGGCCCAATCTTTTTAGCGGATTGATGACATGACGAACACACGACTAATGTTTCGATGAGAAGTCATTACCATGTGGCCGCCACATCAGCATTTTGCTGGAAAATTAGCGAGATTTCAGTCAAAGTGCACTAATAGGAAACAAAAATCAGAATCTAATGCATTGGATGATTAAAATCAAAGTTGAGTGACCTAATTATAAGATCTAATAAGTTCAAGTTCAATGACCATAGACAAAATTTACCCCCACTCTGAACTCTAACGTGCTGGTTAAAGGGAAGATAACATTATATGGCCTCAATCAAGCACTAGGTGTGTCCAGCAAGGATCATGTATGACGCTGTTACGAAAGGACAAACAACTCTTTAACCAAGAGGTTTTCGGACGAGTAGAGAACAACAATTCTACATACAGCATAGAATACAGGGTGTGGAGGTTAAAAAAGATCGAATGTCACAAAGAAATGATCATTGCAAATCTCTACTAGTACAGCTGTGGGAACATAGCGGTAAAGTCAATGACACATTATACAAACTACACATACTAGGCTGTGAGCTCACGTCAGTCGCCAACTGATGACAAAGAATCTTAGAGGAGACCTCATGCGTTGGCTTCCCAACTCTGAGTTGTACATTGGTTGACGTGAACTGTACTGATCCTATGAAATGAGAAATAAAATGAAATAGTGAAAAGAATACTAGGCTGACTCATAATAATAGTGGACCTTGGCTCTCTTAAACGTCAGAGCCTACCAGCAATGATCTTGGTTTCCTCCACATCATATTAGTTAAAACTATTGAAATTTTACTCCTATCTAGCATGGTAAACTATGACTCAACTACCTAGTTACATGTGAAGTTGTGAACCAAGAGGTTAAAAATTTATGACCAAGTCCAGCAACTGAAATGGATCTAGTGCTTGCCAAGAACATTAATATCACAGGCTCTGATCACTGTTCTAAAAGATCCTATCCGTCCTGTGGAGGTTTCATGAAGGTTCTGCAGCACTGTGGGTCCTCTGATTTTAAGAACTTGCATTTTTGGAGTAAATTCTGAAGACACAGATAAGTCACATTAGAGCTGGACAAGCAATCCCAATTTATAGCTCTGGAAAAGGGGCTCCCATAAAAGGGCTTCCTCTCAGCCAAATTAAATGTAGTACTTAAAGGTGATCACACTCTTTAGATTGAGTCTATAGAATGCAGCCCTTTAGAGCGAAACTCAGGGTTCGGTACAGCTCACTTTGGATTCGTATGCTGTTTAAAGCATGCCTTATCTGTCAGTGCAACTTGATTCCCCACCTAAGATGCTAAAAGCTCCTTTCATCTTTAGCAAATTAACAAGCATGAAAATGGGGTGCTAAGCCACACGCTACCATTGAGTCTACTTGAACCTCTTAAAACAATGACAAGAAATCGGAGGCAATGGAAGCTCTAGCTAGAAGACTATAGTAAGAGGTTTTCATCACTACATAAAACCCTGTTCTCTACTACTTCGCCCAATTAGGTCATGTGCACCCCAGTTGAAAGAAACAGGAAGAAAATCTTCCTTCTTGCGAGTACTTGAACGCAGAGAATTTACAGTACTTTCTCCTTCAGTTTGGCTGAAACTAGACACACACATCTAACATTCTTCCTCCTGCCAAAGGGGTTCATCAATTTCTCCCAATTGAGCTAATTCCAGCCAACACAAGAATCAATTTCACCTAAATCTTAGCTGCCAACAACCGATCTGATCTTGACCACCTTTTTTGCATTTGGAATTAAATGCCAGCAAACAACCAACAACATGGAGCACCATGCGAAACCGAACCCACCCGCCATTCGAAAGGGGCGAACAAATCCATACACCAGTGCATCAATCAAAGCAAGTAAGCGACAGCACAATTTGGACGATCAAACGGGGGTGTTCGATCAAGATCGCAGACCGACCTGTTGCAGGGTGTGTCGGGGGTCGGAATGTGAAGGAGATCAGAGGACAGAGAGGCCAAGTGATCACACCACGTCCGAGCTTCAACCCACCCCGACTCGGCTCCATACAGCAACTCATCCTCGCCGAAGCCTTCTTCGGGTGGGCGTTCCTAAGAGAAACGAGTTGAAATTGGAATCAAGATCATGATCATGATCTGATGCTAAAAAGGACGCACAAGAAAACCCCTCTAGGATTCAGGGTTTAGAGAGAGAGGGGGAGAGAAGGCAGCAAAGTGAAAACTTGGTAAAGGAATTGTAATGGGTCGAGCGCGAGTTACCCAAGCAGCGAAAGAAGACGAAGAGGGAGCTTTGTCCGCCATTTGTGACTGGCTATGTAGCTCTGCAAAGTCGAGTGTGTTTTGTCTCCAAGCCCTCGTTCTTTTCAAGGAGGGGTGATTGGTATTAGGATAGATAAATTCTAGATGTGAAACTTACTCTTTTTGTACGGATTCTCAGTTTTTTGGAAATGGAAACTTATTCTGTTTGCCCGGAACCGAAGTCTATCCGAGAATCTATCCTCTTTTTTTTTTGTTTCCTTTTATTGGTTTCATATTTTATAGCAAAATAATATGAGTAACAAAACGGTTCAAGATAAAATATGAAGGAAGATGAGCGAGCAAAGGCGAGTCAAGAATGAGTGACGGTTGTGAGACTCGAACGAGGGAGGGAGACCCGCAAGCGAGCAAGTGTCACGGAGCGATTCTCCCGTACCCTTGTGAGTTGAAGAGTGGAGTTTTGTGGCATCGAGATGAATAGTGAGTAATGTAGAAGGGCGATACAACTGATTTGTAAAAGTGGCATTGTAACAGTCTGAATTTTCGATCCTTTTCCCGGGATTTAGGAAATGAATTTGACCAATGCACTATAGTGAGATCTCACCCGGGACCCGCGCATTCTCGGGATGCTAACCTTAGGGGTAAGGCTATTAAGGGATTGAGTTCGCACGACCAAAGAACTCGACCTAGGTTTGATCTTCGACCATATGGATTGACGAGGGAATGTTTTGAGCCAACCGAGACCGGTCTATTTGATTAATCGTGTCCGAAGGGCACTAGTGACAGACTCTCGCAATTATATGACAATCGAGGTCGTCTTGGGAAGAGTAAACTTAAACGTGATTTGACTTAGTGTCGGTCACGGGTCGAGAGCGCGTAATTCCAGGGAGCCACCCGTTAGCCAGAGATAAGCTAAAGTCGCGATTGTTCGATTTTAATTATTTCTTGGAATTCGGGCCCGGGAATCGAGAATTTTGAAAGTGACAATTTTGGACGGCCGATGACGTTTTTGGCTTGGCCAACCTTGGGGCCACCCATTTCTGTAAAAAAATGGATTTCGGTCCGGGACCCGGAAAATGACGATTTTGCCCCTCTGGTCACCGATGGCGATTCTGAAGTCGTTTGAGGTTATTTTTCGCGGCCAAGGTCATTTTGGGGTGGCCACGCACATTCAGAGTGGTTTTGGCCAAAAATTGGAATTTCGACAAAAATTGGAAAAATAATATTATTTTATTCCCGAAACTTTGCAATCGATTTTCGGGGGCTTAAAAAGTGAATTTCGCGATTCCGGCGCCATATTAGGTTGGCCACGCATATATGGAAAGCGTATGTGCGAAAATTGGAATTTCGCCCCGGGACCGGAAAAATGACCATTTTGCCCCTGAGCCCGTTTCAGTTCCGAATTTTGGGAAATTATTTGGGATTATTATTATTGATTTTTTCAGCTGCATTATTGGGCCTTGGACAATTTTGCCCCTCAATTATTGGATTAGGTTGAATCTAGGCCGTCGGATCAAGGGCAAAACGGGAAATCGCGTAGGATCGCGACACGTGGCACCCCACCAGCCCACTTTTTTGACCAATATTGACTCTCTCTCTCTCCTCCCTCTTCTGGCCAGAACCCCCCCTTCCACGATCACTCTCTCTCTCTCTCTCTCTCTCTCTCTCTCTCTCTCTCTCTCTCTCTCTCTCTCTCATTCTCTTCATTTTTTGTTTCCTCTCATCACCGTTGCTGCTGCGGCTGCTGCTGTTCCGCCGTTTCAGCCATCGTTCCAGCCCCGTTCTGTCTCATTTTTTAGGTAAGTGACCTCCCCAAATGTCTCTTAGGACCTCGGGTATTGTGAGGCTTGTTTAGGGCTCGGTTTAGGGTGAGTTTAGTGGCTGGTTTGCTCGGTGGTGTGTGTTGGCTGATTCCAGTTAGGTTGCTGCTGCGTCGCTGGTTTTTGTTATTTTTACTGTGACTTATGTGGCCCGAATTTGAGGAAGGTTTCTTCATAAAAGTTGTTCTCAGAATCTTGAAGTATAACATATTTTAATTTGGGAATTTTTGGAAATCATTTGATGCCATTCAGAAGTCCATCTTTGGACCGAAATAAAACTGCCCGATTTACTGTTCACCCGACCTTCGGGTCTGTTCGAATTTTTATAAATTTTTCCAAGCCTATTTTCAAAATACTTCCTTCACAAAAAAATTTGGGGACATTTGTGGGTATAACATATAAAAATTTCAAGGTTTTCCAAAATGATTTGGATACCGAATGAGTTGTGTTTTGATGGCCTGAGGGGCTGTCCGAGTGAATTGGATTTTGTCCGATTTTGAGTGTTAAAACGAGGTGTTTACGGTTAGAACTGGGTTTTGAGTTCTTCACAGAAAATGTTCATTGAGATGTTTTGTACAACATATCCAAATTTCAGAATTTTTGGAGTTTTTTTACTATTTATTTCAAATGGATTTCTGTCACTGCGCAACTGCCCAGTTCGGACCCGATTTTATATATTCTCGGTTTTTCTCTCTCTCGAGAATTATTCGGTGCTATCGTGGCATTTTGACGGGTAGTTTGATGCTTGAATGAGCTCGTATGTGTAATTGTGTGGCTGTGATGTTGTGGATTTGTCGTGGCTGAATTGTGTGATCAATTGGTAGTATTATGGCTTGATTGGGTTTAATTGAAGGATAGTTCGATTCGTGATTGTTGGCTGATTTGGATTCTGTTGGGGGCTGTGTATGTGTGGCCGTGTGTGCCATGTGGATGGCCGTGTGTGCTGAGTATGTGTGGTTGTGAGATATGGTGGTGGTGTGATCGTGCATTGGGTTCGCGTGTGATATGTGTATGGTCGTGTGGTGTGCTTATGTGGTGAGAATGTATATTTGCGAAGTGTATGTGTATTTGTGGAATGTGTGTGAGGTGTGCGTGTTTGGCGGTGTGTAGGTGTGGCCGTGTGACAGATGTGGTATGAGTGGAACGAAGGTACGGGAATGTAGGATTGATTTGAAAAGTGAGACCCTGAGGCGTGTTCGTTTACGCAGGGTAAGGATCCGTCCTGAGGCGTGTACGTTTACGCGGGGCGATGCCGTCCCTGACGAGGTGACGATGCCCGGCCTGACGAGGTATCGATGCCTGACGTGGTCAGAAGACCGTTGGCCTGATGCGTTTTACGCGGGCACGGTAGAAGGAAAGTGCGTGTAGGATTCCGTCCTGAGGCATGTTCGTTTACGCGGGACGATGCCGTCCCTGACGAGGTGACGATGCCCGACCCGACGGGGTGACGATGCCTGACGAGGTCAGAAGACCGTGGGCCTGATGCGTTTTACGCGGGCGCGGTAGTGGTGGAAGGGTTGAGAATGAGTGGATTTGGCAAGACGAGTAAAAGGATTGTGAAAGGTGACGTGTGGTGTGAGTTCGTGTTGAGTGTGTTTGTATCGCGTGGTGTGATACTCGATTATGGGGTAAAAAATGCTAGGCATGGTATGGGACGTGCCCGAGTGGGTTTTGCTCTATAATCAAGGCACGCGCGCGGCTGTGATGTATTTCTGTGGCATACTGGCTGTGTGGTTGACTAACGTGCAGGGACGTGCATGAGGAATTTCAGGTAGGGTCGCGCGTGATTGTTAGTTTGGTTGATAGATTATGTGTTATGCGTGTTTTCGTCTGGCGGTACGTGAGTGCCTACGTGGGGTTTGGGGTTGTACACTTATTGAGATTCGTCTCACGGTTGTATAACCGCCACTTTCAGACCCCCAGCCTTAGACCCGGGAAGTCTGCCTCCTCTTTTTGGAAGTTCGAAAAGCCACCCATGGTGCCGGTGGATTCGCAGGCGATGCCCAAGAGATTTCCGGAGGATTGAGCCAGATGAATTAGGGGCAGAATGGAGAAGGGCGATCCTTAGATTTTCCCTAGGGTTTTAGGGGTTGGGTAAATCGGGTTGACCCATAGGGAAGTTAAGTTAACCAGACATTGATCTTTTGTTAAAATGGTGGCGGAGTATGTTCGTCTGTATTTATGTCTGTAATATGATGTTTGATGTTTGGTGCTGTATGAAGATGTTGTTGTTTGTGTTGGGTCGGCGACGATCCTGGGACGTTGCATCATTTCGACCGGAGCAGGGGATGTCGCGAGCTCGTAGGGGTTCGGGGCGTGACAGGCATTATGGTGTTTGTGTTAGGAGTTTTAGGATAAAACGGTTGTAACTCTGAGGAGTTTTAAAGACGAGATTGGTCTCTCGTGCACAAACTGGTCGGGAGCTGATGCCGCTATTCTAAAACCAATTGTTGTACCAAATTGTTTTATATGTTTTTGCTCAAGTGGCTGGATGCCCATGTTAAATTGGGCATGGTATGATCTGATGCAATTTATCATACTGTTGTTAGGAACAACCTTTAGAATGAAAGTCGGCCTAGTGTTCTTAGCTCACAAGGCGCCGCGCAAGCTATTTCGTGGTCAAAAAACCATCAGCTCATGAGAAATGGTATTAGAGTAGGATCCCTCCAGTGAGTGAGTGATTCAGGAAAAGCCTATGGTCTACCTAATCCTATGAGGGCAAGGAGTGATTGTTGGGGCTAAAAGGGCTTAGATAAGGTGCGGCTCTCGTCAATCTTCTAGAATATTAATGGAAGAGGACATGAATAAATCGAATTGCTCACCAAATAGGGAAAACATTCTTAAGGGTGAATCTCATGAGGAGGTCCACTACCACGTTTCCAACAAAGAGAGAAACCTTCAGGCAATTTAAGATAAGATCCACTTTGAGAACTCTTTCGAGAAGACAATCCACTTTAGACTCTTATTTAAAATTTTCCCATTTGCGACTTATTTAGTAATGCAACTTTTACATGTACCTTTCTTTTTCTTACGGTAAATGACCAAAGAGAGAATTAAGGCGTACCCTTGAAAATTGGATGTTGAAATCGAGGCCCCGAAAATGGCCCTTCTAATACCAAAGGAATCATTACCACAGACTATAAGGGGGAGGCACTTATCGAATCATAAAAACCCAGTTTCTGGCCTCGTGATTGGAATTAAGTAGCAAATTCAAAAATTATTTTTTTGGTTTTCATATATACCCTAACGGATATACTTATCGATATGGACATCTTATAATCATTTTAAGCTCAAGGTTGAGTTTTACTTGAGTTGATAATTTCTTTTAAAAGTTGGTAAATT